AGCCTTGGCTCCGGGGCCAGCCGGGGTGCCAGAGGCCAAGGTAGAAGCTGGGCGGCCTGAGAGGGCTGCTGCACCCAGAGAGCAACAGAGCAAGAGGGAGAGGCACAGAGGGGAGAGGCCAGGCCCCAGAGGCCAGGGCAGGCAGTCAGGCGGTGGCTTGCAGGAGCCAGCAGAGGAAGGCTGTCATCCACTGCACAGCTCCAGGGGGCCCAGGGGCTTCGGCAGGAGACCGGAGCGGAGACCTGATGGGAGGCACAACCAGGAGTTTCCAAAACCTCACAGCAGAAGCGGGGCTGCTGATAGAAAGGAGTTGTGCTCTGAAGACCCCTCGCCAGTAACAGAGGTGGTGGACTTGAAAGAAGAGTGCTGTGATGTGGAGAGATGGACCCAGGAGGAGGAGGCTGAGGTCCCGGGCACGGAGAAGGAGAACCTGACGTTCAAGGGCAGTGACAACAGAGCAGCTCCCAGTTGGCAGGGCCACCACAGGCCCTGGGATTGCAGGAGGTGGGAGAGGCCCAGAGTGCAGGAGCATGGTTCCCGCCCCAGAACGCCAAGAGGACGAGGAGTGTTCAGGCCCAGTGGACGACGAGAAGCCCATCATGAGAAAGAGAGTGGCTCCTAGCAGGAGTGGGGAGGGGCTGGGCTGGGGGAGGGAAGGGCTGTTTCTGGGGAGAACAGTAAAGGTCCTGGTGGAGCAGTAGCAAGCAGACCCTGTACCCCTTGAGAGGGAGGAGGCAGCTGGCACGTGGCACAGCTTGGGACAGGCAGCGTCTCCAGGGTATGGAGTATGGAGTGAAGCATCCCGGTGTGAGCAGTGCTGTCAGCAGCACTGGAGAAGCTGACTCCAAACAGAACGTGTCGGCCTTGGTCTAAGAGGACCCAGGGGACAGAGTAAGCCTTGACGGGGACCTGCAAGCATCCTGCCTGTCTGTGAGCTGCCAAGAAATGCACACACCTATGGAGCAAATGTACCGAGCCCAGTGTGGTGCTACAGCAGAGACAGAGCTGTGGCAGGACCTTCTGTGGAAGCCATCATTCCGGTGGAGCCATGGTACTGCCAAGCCAGGAGTCTGTGCCTGGGCAGCGGCCTGGTTCTGAGCTTGCTGTGTCCCCCATTCGTTCTCAGAGCGCCTTCTCAGCTACTGCCCCCGTGCCTTGGAGACTGCACTGCTGCTCCCCCAGCCCTGGCCACTGTTCAGCTCATGGGTTCGGCCAGGCAAGTCCTTTGTACGATGGGACATTTCCAGAGCCCAGCCAGGAGAGCCACGTTGAGCTGAAGCCAACACATTGATAGGTCAGCGCTCTCTGGTGGCTGAGGCTGCGGGTTGGCTCCTGCTCCCCAAGGAAACCTGGATTTAGATGGAGCTTCTATGCTCCAGCTGGTTTTGTCCAAGCAGAAGCTGTTGGAGTAGACCTGGGAAGAGCACTTTGCTTTGTGACTGTATCTGTCAGGATTGCCCTCTAAGGCCAGGCTGTCTTGGAGCTTCTGACAGCCTGGAGTGAAGATATGCCCCAGTAGTTTGGATACTCTTACCTTCCTTTCATCTTCAAGTTAATCCTCCCTCAAAGAAATGAGGATTTACTGTTTAAACTGACTTGGTGCAGTTTCTTCTGCTGCTGCTTCACAGATTTTAAGTGTCCCACTCCAGAGCCATGATGGATGATCCCAAGGCTCTGAAGTGGGACACAGCTATTAAATTAATTTGTTGGGTCTTCACCAGAGCCTGCTCCCTTTGTTTTCTGTGTCCTCTAGCTCCCGTTCTTTGCTGTTTGGAGCAAAGGTGTTGATCCCTGCTATTTCTCACTCCCTTCCCTGCTCACTGCACCTGGGGCCAGAGCAGAGACTTTCTCCTGGCGCTCCTGGATGGCAGGAGGGTGCCCTGATCCCTGCTTTGACTGGCTCGGTGTAAGCTGTCGGGGTCACCCAGACAGTCCCGATTCTTTCATGCTTGTTTGTGCCTTGTGCCCCCACCTCTCTTTTGGCCACACGTGGGTTGTTATTGTCTTCCGCCTCCTGCTGAGTGCACAAATGGCTGTGCTGTGGTGGGCTTGCCAAAGCTTTGGGTGAGACCCCTCGGACAC